AAAGATTATTTATTGTCCAGATAATTGATGATGGGTCGTTCATCTTTCAGAAACAACTGCCACTGCAGTTGTCATCCAAACCACAAAGCCAAACAAAAATTTAAAACAGACTAAGGGAATTTAATAATGTTGATTTCACATGCTTGCAAATTGCCTTTCCTTAATTAAATATAAATCTTTCCAGTGTGGGTTCAAAAGAAGGGCAATTGGATGGTGTACTGAACATGAGCATTTTGCCTTTCCAACTGCTTTTTTCTATTTCACTTTACTCTGTGTGCTATAAGGAAGAACCTGACATTAATACTGATATTACAGACACACATTGTGAGCATGCCTCTTTTGATTGTTAAGGAGACCTGATATACTGTATGTGGTGTCAGAAGAGGAATATACTATCTTTCTAAATGATAATCTATGTAACATTCATTGCATCATCCCTCTTCTTCTGTACATCTCTGTCAATAAAATTTACTACAACTGAATTTATTTCTTTAATTCAGTCTTCTCAGCTTATAGCCTCCAAAGGTCTTGTGTAAATCAGTTTTGCACTATACTCTTTTAATATTAGGAATCAGAATAAGAGAATAGCAGAGTTGGAAGGGACCTTGGAAGTCTTCTAGTCCAGGGCTTTTCAACCGGTGGTACACGTACCTCCGGAGGTACTTTAGCAGCTGGCAGGTGGTACGTGACCCCTAGCCAAGTGTAGCAGGGGAGGGAACAAGCTAAAGCAGCACCGCACAGGCCTGGAGGAGATCAGCTGGAGCTGTAGGGCTCGGCAGAAGTCCCAGGATCTGCACACATGGCTACATGCTGATTGGAGAGAAAAGAGAAAAGAAGGAGGAGGGCGGAGAGAGGAGAAGCTATAAAAGGAACAGGTTTTGGCGGGAGAGGGAGAGGAAAAAAAACACATGGAGAAAGAGAGAAGAGAAGAGGCTTTTGTTAGCAAAGCGGTGAGGAGAGAGCGAGCAAGTGGCCTTTGTGAGCAAAGTGTGAATGAGTGAGAGAGCAAGAGGCTTTTGCGAGCAAAGAATGAGTGAGTGAGTGAGTGAGTGAGTGAGTGGCTTTTGTGAGCAAAGTGTGAGTGAGGGGAGCTTTTGCGAGCAAAGGGTGAGAGTGAGGGGGGCTTTTGTGAGCAACATGTGAGTGAAAAAGTGAGTGAGGGGCTTTTGCAAGCAAAGAGTGAGTGAGTGAGAGAGTGAGGGGCTTTTGTGAGCAAAGGGTGAGAGGGGGACATTTGCAAGCAAAGGGTGGGAGAAAAAGGGAAAAGTGAGGGGGAGAAGGGAAAAAGAAAAGAAAAGGCATTGACTTCTGGCTTCCTCTGTTGCAGTAAAAGGAAGCATTAACATTGAACCTCAACTTTTTACTTTTCCATAATATTATAAACTAGCTATTTCTATAACAACAAATGAATCTAACCAGTAAAGCCCAAAATCCCCCCCTTTCTTTTAGTCATCAGGTTTTTGACACCTTGCTAAGCACTGGTGGTACTCGAATATTGTCATGTCCTAAAAGTGGTACAGTCTGTGAAAAGGTTGAAAAGCCCTGTTCTAGTCCAACCCCCTGCTCAGGCAAGAAACCCTATAACATTTCAGACAAATGGTTGTCCAATCTCTTCTTAAAATCTTCCAATGTTGGAGATTCACAACTTCTGGAGGCAGGTTGTTCCACTGATTAATTGTTCTAACTGTCATGAAATTTCTCCTTAGTTCTAGGTTGCTTCTCTCTTTGATTAGTTTCCATCCATTGCTTCTTTTCCTGTCTTCAGATGCTTTGGAGAATAGCTTGACTCCCTCTTCTTTGTGGCAACCCCTGAGATATTGGAACACTGCTATCATGTCACTCCTAGTCCTTCTCTTCATTAAACTAGACATACCAAATTCCAGCAATCATTCTTTATATGTTTTAGCCTCCAGTTCCCTAATCATCTTTGTTGCTCTTCTCTGCACTCTTTCTAGAGTCTTAACATCCTTTTTACATTGTGGTGACCAAAACTGGATGCAGTATTCTAAGTGTGGCCTTACCAAGGCATTATAAAGTGGTATTAACACTTCATGTGATCTTGATTCTATCCCTCTGTTAATCAACAAGGCACTTGTTAGAACAAATCCATTTTGTGATGTATAGACATGGTGATGCCTCTAAGCTAGATTTGATGATAGAAAGGCAATAAAACTTACATTTTTTTAACTTTCGAGTCCAATTAAAGGTGGAAACTGGAGTCATATTTCCTCTTGTCCCTGCCCCACACTTCAAGATACTTTGAAAATACTGGGGGGAAACCTGAACTTCAAAAACATGTTACGTCATATTTTCTGGAAGTGTTCTTGATTAGAGAATCCAGTGGCTAAATTTCTGCTAACAAAGAGAATATTGTTCTGCATTGCATCCATTGTCAGAGATGCAATAATGAAACTTATCAACAGTTATCAATACTGCTGGGGAAGACATCAAGGATGGGGGCAACAGAACAACACTGCTGCCCCCTTTCATGTATTTTCTAAATTCTGTGGGCTGAAAGTGCCTGAAGGAGTTTATATTAAGACAGGGAGTGCTGCTCGTTGCTTAATCTGAATCTGTCATGTTTGTCCCAGCAACTTTCATAGCAGTTAAAGTTCAACCGTGTAGTTCGTAAGCATAGTCCTGCGATAACCATCAAGAATAGAAATGCCGCTGTGCTTTTAGTTCAGTCAAGTAAACAAGCTGAGCTGACTTCACCCTAAATTACTGGGCAGTACTATCTACTTGGTGATCAGATGATTGTGCTAAATTCTCTGTGCAAAGCTTTTTCGCCCTGTAGTCTATTAACCAAACTCCCTTTTCCTTTCGTCTTTTCTTTCTGAATGAATTCAACAACAGTGAGAATATTGCATAAGTTGATTGTATTGTCTCAGCATTATCAATACTTGAACTGATAAAAGGTATCAGGATTAAACTCCATGGAAAACCGAAAGCTGCCCAATGCACCACAATAAGCCAGTGATGGATAACCTTTGATAGCCCAGAGCTGTGTTTAACATTTCTGGAGAGACTAATGGGAGTAGTGTCTGAACAGGTCCCAGCATTTAGTCAATCATGATTGATCTCAAAATGTAAGGGTCATACTTGATTAATGTTTTAATAGGCCTGTTGGAAAATTGAAAAATATTCCAGAAGAAGGAAATAGAAAATGTCTTTGGTATTTTTGCCAAGAAAATTTACATTGATATATCTATAAAGTAATCCGAAATTGAGATGTATTTGATGGAGTATGTACCTATAGTCGCAAATCAAAAGACAACATTGCATTAAGGGTAGGATCTGGATTTTTTCTAGATATTTGGTGGGAAATTATTTGCTTTTTAAATTATGTTAAGTCTACCTTAATTTTTATGAATGTCTTGCCTTCAAATGCTTTTGCAGTTTAGTCAGAGGAAGCTTCTGGAAGCCACAAAGAAAGGATTGTAGACTACATATTTTACTAGGGCTATAAATTGTCCCCAGGATTAAGCCAGGGTTTGTTTAATAATATGTTCACTAAGCCATGGGTGACTTGGTTCATAAAGTGTGCTCCATTGTAAATAATGAGTTCAAACCCAGAGTAGTTTATCAGCCAATCTTATTTATTGACTACAATGAATACTTAGCTAAATATACAATAGTTTTAAGATGGGTTCTTTATTATATTTAACAAGTATATTTTGTCTGGAATTCCCTTAGTATATGGAATTGGTCCATGGCTTTGTTGATTTCTCAGTCCTACCTAAAGATGTCAAGATTAGACCTGAAGTCATTTTTCACGCAAAGATGCATCCTACAGAAACATATAACCTTTTCCCTCTGAGGAACTCATTACAGAAGTAATAGCGAAAGTCAATATTCTTAGAGAATCATCATTTCCCAAGATTAGATTATCAGCCAGAGTCTTTTTCGCAACAGTCCGATTCTGGAATAATCTTGAGGACTCACATCATGTCATGGAGCTCTTAGCAACATTTATTAAAATTTGTAAAACCAATCTTTTACTCTTAAGGATTCTTCTGCTGTTTCCTGTTGTCATAAGAATGTTTGGTTTTAAGATTATTGATAAGAGGAATGTTATGCATGACTTGTTTTGTTATTAAATTTTAGAACATGTCATAGGTCAGCATCAGAGTTTGCAGTGTTTAATGTGCTAGAAGGGGAAAGGTATAAATATATATGAGAGTATATATTTATTATATTTAAATATAATTTAGATTTGTATTTAGTTTTGGCAATGATTCTACTCTCCTTTTAGAAATTGGCTGCCAATATATTATTCTAAAGGTATATTTGCCTGTGTCACAGAGGAGATTGCAAACTGCTGTCCTGGGTTCATTATTAATGGGGTATTAGTAGACAATATTTAATAAAATAACATAGAAATGTCCACAGAAATATATTTATATTTTCTAATGCAATACTGAACAATTCCAAATCTTGTAATAATAAAACCTATGACACCAAGCAGCTCAAGCTGGTCTGAAACCTCTAATTACTATTCAAGCCCTGCAAGAGAATGAATATTGTTTATTCAGTTGGTTTTAAAACCTCATTTAGGTTGACAATTTTGTAGGGCAGCAGGCTACAGGTCAATGATGGTGACTATTTTTGCAGTTTTGTTCATCTTGGGGAACAATGAGTTTCAAGAAACTATTGTGAAGGGCATAGGAGAAGCATTTCATATGTTGATTTCTGTGTCTGAGACTTCCACTACTGTAATTTTATTGATTTCAACAATGCACTTATTTAACAGTTATATTAACTGAGCTGAACAAACAATGCACTCTTTGCTAGATTAGTTTCATTTATTGAAAGAACTGTAAATTTTCTTCCGTATAAACAGACATCAGTGTAAGTTGCTTTACACTGATGTCTGTTTATACAGAAGAAAATTTCTCAAGGGGAACTCAAAATGGAACTTTAAATTTTAAATAGAGCTTGCAGGTCTTTCTTTGTGGAAAAGTATATCTATGTAAACCTCTATTTTTCAACCCTATCAGATTTTCATCACAGTGAACTGCTTAAGTACAGACTTCTCTTCTCAAAAAGGAGTCAAGGGTCTTCCTTTGATGATTCAGATTGACACATACAGTTACAATAATCGCAGCAATAAACCCATTCATCGGGCCTTCTGCCAAATCAAAGTTTTTTGTGACAAGGTAAGATAATGTATTTCTTAATTATGACATACGGGGAGAGCAAACCTTTTTTTTCCTTTTAGTTAATTATTTTAGTTTTCTAGATTGATTTTTATCATCATTTTTGTCTACAAGTCACTTTCATTTTAGCTTTGTTTTATTATTTTTTTTCATTCTTTCTTTGCTATTGACATTTTCAATGATAGCAGCAAGTGTGGAACTTATTAGGGTTACCATTTTATATTTCAGAATCCTCTAGATGTTCTGTCACTCACAACTCTGAGGGGCAAATGCAAAAAATGGTTCCGCGTTGATAACGGCAGCCTTTTCCTCATACAATTTTATTTATTTATTATTGACCTAGTCCTGACTCCCGGGTGACAAGTCCCTACAGTTTTCAGAAGTGATTTCAGAAATGGTGTGCCATTCCCTTCTTCCTAGGGCTGAGAGAAAATGACTGGCCCAAGGTCAACCAGCTGGCTTTGTGTTTAGGGAAAGACTAGAACTCATGGCCTCTTAGTTTCTAGTTTGATGCCTTAAACATTGCACCAAACTGGCTCCCAACAACAATGGAGAGCTGGAAAAATAAAATATTTGGCTACAGATTTACAATTAAAATTAGCCTTTTTTGACCCACTGCTGGAAATACAATCTTCAGAATTCAGAGCTGGGAGTTATAGGTCTGACTAATTTGGAGTGCACCAAGTTAGAAGTCAATCAGTCAGGAAGATGTCTAGGATAGTCCTGGAGAACATAGGTAGTCCTTGACTTATGACTACAATTGGGACAAGAACAGGGGTAGGCAACCTCGGCTCTTTTATGACTCGTGGACTTCAACTCCCAGAATTCCTGAGCCAGTATGGCTCAGCTTGGAAACCTCTCCCTTTCCCCTCAGCATGGCTGGCTCAGGAATTCTGGGAGATGAAGTCCACGAGTCATAAAAGAGCCGAGGTTGCCTACCCCTGGACTAGAACTTCCATTGCCAAGCAAAATGTTGTTAAGTGAGTCATGCCCATTTTTTTGACCTTTTTTGCCATGGTGGTTAAGTGAATCTCTAGGGTTGTTAAGTGAATCATGCCATTGTTAAGCAAATCTGGCTTCCCTCATTGAATTCACTTGTTGGAAGCCAGCTAGGAAGGTTACAAATGGTGATCATGGGACCCTGGGATGCTGTAATCATTGGAAATACATGCCAGTTGCCAAGCACCCATTTGATTATATGACCATAGGGGGACTGTGAGATTCATAAGCACAAGGATTGATTGCAAGTCACTTTTTTCACCACTGACCTACCTTCAAACAGTCAATAAACGATGATTGTTAAGTCAAGGACTAACTATAAGTAGGCATTTTATAAAAGCCATTTTAGAATGCCACTGGCAGACAACTGGGAAAGGATTATAATCATAAAACTAAAGTCCTGGAATGGGACATATAAAATTGGATTGATTCCTGATGATTACAGCAAATGGGATGGAATGTGATGAAATCCAAGAAAAAAAAATGGTGAAAACTAGGTAAAGTAGGACAAGCTTCAAAAGGAGATAGCTAAAATTAGGATTCTGGTAGCACGTTTTAAGGCTAACACATTTTATTAAAAGGGATAAGTTTGACTCTGTTGCTAAGTAACTATTTTCTTATTATGACCAAAATCACTGGGACCATGTACGGATTTACACGAAAGTTTCGATGCAACCTTCATTCCATCTTATTCATATGTGTAGGAAATCAAATTCTGCAGAGTGTTGATTGTTCAGGTGTTACTACTAGAACATTTCTTATAAACAATATATTATCTTACTAGAAGCTTCCCAGTGTGGGTTCCTCCAAACTCTTACTGAAGGTACTATTTATAAGCTGCTTTAATTTATACATTTAAAAAACCCTACTGCATAGCTTAAAAAAACTATCCACTTATCAGTTTAATAGAATTTTTGAATAGGATTTTGATAATAATTTATTTCCCAGGGCTTTTAGAAGTTTTGTATTCTAATGACATAATAGCATGTTTTCTGAAAGGTTGAAGTTCTGCACGATTCCTTTACTCTCCATATTTAGAGTAAATAAAACTGCAGATACAAACTGAATAATTTTTATTATTATGAAACTTAAACCATAAAGCAATGGTATTTTCTTTCCATTTCTTTGGCAAAAAAGATAAAATGAACTGGCAAGGACAATTTCAAGACACTGATATTAAAATTAAATCAGATATTTCAATTAAATTATTAATTATATTAAATAGCATTATATTCTGCTGTTTCTTTCATGGAACACTTAGAACAAATTGACATTTAAAAAAGGAATAATACAATTATGAAAAATTAAAAATACAGATTAACCAACCAGTGCAAACTACATTGCAAATGGATAAACAGCTGACGTTCTTAAAATTATTTTAGAAATAGTAAAGAGCCAGTTTGGTGTAGCAGTAAGGCATCAGACTAGAAATTGGGAGATGGTGAATTCTAGTCCCACTTTAGGCACAAAGCTAGCTGAATGATCTTCGGCCAGTCACTTTCTCTCAGCCCCAGGAAGGAGGAAATGGCAAGCCACTTTTCAAAACTTTGCCAAGAAAACTGTAGCGACTCTAGACACAACTGAATGGAAAGGGAAGAAATGGTAACAAGGAAATCAGATGGCTCTTAGATGGTTCTTTACACTGTTGCCAAAAAAGAGGAAGTGTAGCATACACACACACACACACACACACATATACAGAGAGAAATAGTGCACATTTGGACATGTTCATATATGTATAAATGTGCAAATGAAGACATAGGTACTGCAATTCAAAGAGAAATACAACTAATTTAAAAAATGGTGGGAAAGTCAGATCAGTTTATGAGTGTGAACCTGCTTGCTCTACTATCTATGTGTTGTGCACTGTGGTGTGACTTTAAATCCTCTGATCTCTCCTTTCTAATAGAGTTTGTTTTTAAACTAAGCTTGGATTGGGCAGCCTTTTAAAAGTAGGATACCTTGAAACAGAGGACTGTCCTTTCAGAGTAAGATAGTTCTCTGCAAAGCAGGACATCACTTGATCTCCACTAGAGGAATGCTTGTTCATATATTTCTTTATTAGATATTATTTTATCCATGATAATCCCAAGACTCTTGGGACTCCTTGGGGGTGCTCAGAAATTGGAAGATTTTTGATAGCCAAGCTCTTATGAAAGGGCCTGTTGGGATACAATTGGACATTACATCCCAGTCCAGCAATTTTATTCTGCCCACAAAGAGGAAAAAATAATAATAACTAAGAT